CAGTGGCGAAGCAACATATACGCAAAACAACAATTGTTTTTAATTGCCTTTCGCGGCAATCCATCGGTCTGTCCGCTAGAGTAACTGCCCTTTGTCAAAGGGAAGCTACTCTAACCCTAGTCTATGAGACGTCACGGTCACGGTCAGACCTTGTTGACAGTCGGTCTGTCCTGTCATAACGTAAGAAGTGTAGTCAGATGTACACACAGGGACAAAACGAAACAAGGTAATATTTCAAACATATTTCGGCCAAATCCAACTATTTTAATTTGTGGAGAAGGTTTCAAGCCGCAGAGGTCTACAAGCACAGATATGGCTACTGATCCCGCTGGGCTAGGCCTCGTGCCCTCGCAAAATTGTTTCGAAATTTATATCACCAAACTTGCCAAAACTTATAAAATGCCTTAGTTACGTCACAGTTAGACACTGATTTTCAGTATTTTAGACTGTTCTTTTGATAATGATAGCAATTATCCCTGTAGTTTATCCAGATTCCCGATGGTTAATTCTGACTCGATTGCCGAAAGACGCACTCTCCTACCCAGAGTTCCATGCGGCAGGCGCCCCCAAATACTTGCATTAGTCCGTTCTATACTGATTTCTGAAAAAACGCCATGTTTGTTAATAAACAGTAAAAGTAGTCCCTACTTGACCTTTGATATTTGCATCTCTATCCGCATATGACCCCAGCGGATATCGTTTTTATCCGTTGGCTTTATCCTGCCGAGAAACCTACCCATTATATGATAAATATAAATATCCATGTCCCTTTATTCCTCTTTTCTTTATGCTTTTTCAGTTATTGTAGTAGTAATTTTGACTAGTAACACAATATCATTTATCAATGATCAGTCCAATAATACAACTCAAAGACAACTCACAACCACTTTGATGACATTTGATTATTTTCAACACTGGACAACAGACAAATGTCTCCTCAGCACGTGATATTTATAAACAGTGTGTAATACAGCTGTGTGCTGACTCGCTGTGATAGCAACAGATAACCCACTGTGTGGGGCCTAATATAAGCTATGCAAGTGTACTTGTTCAAGATCAGAAGCTTAATGAGTATTATATTGTTAAACTTGGATCAGTGGGTCGATTGGCCCTACATGACAACCATATCAGACGTCGCAGTCGTCACTCATGAAAACCTTATCTTAAAGTAGTCCGATCGTAAACAGAATGTGAAGTGGCGAATGTACCATTTATAAAAGATAATACTTTTGAAACAAGTTCAAAATCTGTAATATACGCAGAACAGGTTTTTAAGCTTATATTCATGTTGTTGAACACATTGTTTCGTCCCGTAATTCGGAGAAACTGATGACAAATATTGTCACGTTGATAGTTCTCAACCATAGTCGGAATATCAAATTAAATTTACTCATGCACAATCTAAAGTTCTCTGGTGCGTTTTGGCGCACTCTTCTTTGGTTGCTTTTCGTCACACAATATTTGAGTTTTCATTTGCCCATCTTTGATGAACTCACGATTTTGAAAGCAAGGAACCAAAGAAATGTCATCGAAATGATTACCTGAAAGGAAATGACAATATCACTGCCCCGACAGTTCATAACACACAGTTCTTTCACAGTTGTTCCTTGAATCCTACTCCATGAATGCTTAATGATCTTTTAGTCTTCTTCATCAAGCAGATCCTGATGACCGTCCGCTAAATCCCCACCCAAGGCAATCAACTTCAGTGGACATATCTTGTTGACTGATCAGATTGGCCATCCTGGTCATGAACAACTTGTTCATAATTTGGAGCTAGTGATGTGTCATCTTGAGACTGGTATGCTAGAGGCCTGACATTTAGGGAGAAGTTGTCCGTTCTGTCACTCGATCTGTGATGTCACCTTTGCTGAGGACAGGCTTAGATTGATTAGTTGTTAGAGCGACTGCACAGAGATGGGAAGGTCGGAGGTTAGATCCCTAGCCTGGTCATACTAAAAGACGTCATAAACGATGGTACCTGTTATTACCATGCCTGGCGCTCAGCACTAATGGGATAAAACAAGGACTGGGTGGCTCAGAGTCAGTATGCTGTCTGAGTGGGGTATATTTGTTAAACTGTGGCATGATACCTCAGTAGCCTAGCACTATGAAACCGGCATTAGTCCAGACTAGTACAAGGAGCCACTCGCATGCACGTCGCAATATGATTTAACGTGACACTGAAGCCTATTTTTACCTCCACTCTTATAAAATGGGGTGTATGTACAGGATTAAGATACATTTTACCCCTTTATTTGCAAGCAACCTACAAACAACCTGGTCTATGTTAGATCTCCTTCAGTTTTTAGTGCACCTGCAAAGTTCATACCATTGTGTGACACCATGATTTGAATCATTATGAAGAGTCAATACAATCAACACCTTCTTCAGTAATTGCTAGAAGTGACGGTTGCACTAAGAACATTAGTAATGCTGCCATCTTGTGGTGGGCTGTCCTTGCTTTATTTCTTATGCATTCATCACACTCAGTCTTCCTAAGATGATATGGGTGATAGTTTCTAGTTTCTGATCCAAACAAGACATTCGTCATGTCCTAGGCTACCATAATCTGCTCCTGGTAATCAATTACTGGTTGAAGACTGAGGTACTTGCCATTTGACGGCAGTGTGTTTTTCCTTATGGCAATGCAGTGTACACATCAGAGAATACATCCTTATGATCATGAACCAGCTCGGTGATTATTCTTATTTCAGTATATTTGATTTTATTTGAATACAGTTGCCCTGTTGTTCTCACTTTCTATTTATGTGAAGACAGTGTTAGTGTAAAAATAATTGTCGTGATTGACAGTGACAGGAAATGACTTAAATGCCATCAAGTGTTATCCTGACGGAAGAATTGTTTTGTATAAGATTTTATCCACCCTTGTTGTGCACAAGAACATGCCAAGTTTGATCATTCTGAAGTTTCTTGATGTGAAGAAGCTGGCTTTACTCATTTCAAATTGGCAAGAAGGCGAGGCGAGGCCTTTTGGGCTTGATACCTTTCTTATCTACTTGCCAAGTGCGGTTAGGATACCTACAGCAAATTCCTGGCAGCTACTTTCACTATTTTGAACTGATGCACGGAAACAGGCCTCTTTCAAGACCACCAACAATGACAATATTCTATACATATCGTGAGTACATTTACATTAATTCTAGGGCCTTATACTTATTGCTGCAGCCACATATTTCAACAGTCTTGTGTGATAAACAGTTGTGAAGAAATCGACGGAACAGGCATTTTACTCCAATGAGTCTTTGTCCACTTGAGTGTCTAGCGGGTTCAAGTCACCATTCACAGTGCTGACAGTGAGTAAAGCAGATAGCTTTTTTCACATGGCGTTTTACTTTGTCTGTTTTGAAACATACGTTTTGCTCAGTCAAATCTTTTTTTCTTCTCGTAAACAATTTTCGGACCACCAGATCTTGCTGTTAACCAGATGTGATACAGTGACAAATCAGCAGGGTTATATTCAGAGGGAACATGGCTCCGTGTATTGGTAACAACCTAAATGTTTCCAACTCTGTTGGCCACAAATGCTTTGAGGGGCTTACTGTTACTTTTTTCCACCAAGTACACACTGCGATGTAGTAACAAGTCCAGCAAGCTCAGCAATCCTGTAATTGTTACACCAGGTGAGGTGAAATTGGGTTGAACGTTGCGCTCAAGAATAGTTCGCTTATACATTGACGTGCATGCACGTGTGTGTGTGGCCACTCGTACTAGACTGAACGTAGGACAGTTTCAGAGTGATTGCCCACTGAGAAAACAATGCCGCAGTTTAACATTGATACAGCACTCTGTCACACCAGTCCGCTTAATCCCGTACACCACGGAGGGGATCGATAGTTACACCAGGAAGTATGGCACGTGAAACACTAATATTATGTTTGACAGACCACAGCGTCTTTACAACAAGTCGTTCAAGTGCATTTATGGTTAACTAACCCTAGAAGCCTGCAAGTAAGCTAATACAAACATTTTCCTCAAGATTATCTGGTCAAGACACGATTATATACAGACCGCCGTCACAAAGCTGGCATATTGCTGAGTGCGGCGTTAAACATCAAACCAAAATTCCTATTGGACAAGTGTCCATTGTTTTCATGTTTGCAATATGTCGCCACTCACCAAGTGTTCAGATGTCCAGTAACTGTGTGTTATTTCCCACACCAGAACACTGGTGATGTTCAGATGTACAGTAATTGTGTGCTATTTACCACACCAGAACACTGGTGATGTTCAGGTGTACAGTATATGTGTGTTATGTCCCACACCAGAACAATGGTGATGTTCAGATGTACAGTATCTGTGTGTTATATCCCACTCCAGAACACTGGTGATGTTCAGATGTACAGTAACTGTGTGTTATTTCCCACACCAGAACACTGGTGATGTTCAGATGTACAGTAACTGTGTGTTATTTCATACACCAGAACACTGGTGATGTTCAGGTGTACAGTAACTCTGTGCTATTTCCCACAGAGATGTACAGTAACTGTGTGTTATTTCCCATAACATAGTACAGGTATATTTGGCGACGTGTAACTAATGAAGGATTAGGCAGGCAAACCATTGGTTGACAGTTCATTGCTTCACGCAAGGTCACACATTTTAACAACCTGAGCCTATTAGTCCTTGTTTTTGACAAACATGGGAAACTAAGGCCTATTCTGACCCGGAGTACCCACAAAATCTCTGTTCGCGAGAAGACAAACATTTATTCTTTGGTTATGAAACATGTGTAGCTCACCTGGATTGAGGACCAAATGAGGTCATGGTTGACTGGTGATGAGATCCTGTGATGATTTTCGAAGAGCTATGCCGATCTTATGATACATGGTACATTAGTGTGTCCACTATAGGGCACATCTCAACAATTTAATTCAATTTGCAAAGTTCCTTTACATAATTATATGAACATCAATGAATAACATCTAGGCAGATAACAACGATATAAAAGAAACCAAGTTACTGTGAAACTCACTTACCTGCCATCCTTCAACACCTACCGAAACGCAGTAAGCGAAATGCAATCTACCAAACTTCCTTGTTGAACAGATCAACGCCAACTTTTATCTGTCGCATAACATATATGCTATGGCTTACTTGACGTCCGAGCAACGAAGGTATAAGTCGTACTGGTGACTGTTTATGTCATTCTATGTTGTGACAGGTCACCGTTGCCAGGTGATGCACGAAGTATAACGCTCGTATTGTCGAGGACCAAGTAATCTGGCTATGTGTGTGTCTGCTTGTTTGTTTGTTGTTTAACAATCCAGTGATTGATATCATGAGCGTCGATCCATGCAATTGGGATCGATGACGTGCTTCAACCAAGTCAGCGAGCCTGACCACCCGATCCCGTTAGTCGCCTCTTACGACAAGCATAATTGCCTTTTACGGCAAGAATGGGTTGTTAAATACCTATTCTACCCCTATGGATATTGTAACATCTACTCGGCTAGCACCATCAGTTCAGACTATTACATCAGGTTGTTGAAGGAAACAATTCTATCGCTGGAAGGAAGCCACCCCGCCGGAGTTCCATTCTCTCTATGTGACGACTAAACGTTGTTTATTGCTCGTCATCGTACCCCAACCGCGTGAGACATTGCGCATTCAATCAGTCACTGGTTTGTGTCACTGGAATATCGTCGTATGGTAGTGGTTTTGCTGGGTGCGGTGTTAGACAACAAACTCTTACTTTATTAAGCACATTGAGTGGTACAAGTAGGGCAGGACAAGCTCGCCATTCGCACACTGCGCCGACACGTTATCCAATGAGCTGTCCCACCGCCTCCTCTATTTTTGAAGGGAAAGACATAATTGTTACAGCTACAGCTTGTATAATCATGTTTAAAGTTAAAAACTGTATTTTCTGTTTATTGCGAATATAGATGTAAGCATACTTAGTCTATTGATTTTCTCCCTCTCGTTTTAAACAAAGTTTAAACATGATTAGGGACCTTTAATAGTCAACAATAACATCTTGCTCTGAATACTAAATTAAATTAATGATAAACCGACAGTGCATTTGAACTATGTTTACCTGACACTGAACGGTTTGGCCGATTATTAGTTGTCCACGCCTGCCTGGTAAAGGACAGTTGCTGCCGTGGATCGAAGTGAATGGCATGTGTAATGACCTTGCAAACCCTCGCTAATTTAGGAACAATTATCTGAGGTGTTATGTTTTATGTACTGTATCATACTTGCTCTTGCGATCGTTGAGGCGGAGAAGAATAAACTGTTCCATCTCTTCCTCCAAAATACAATGGATAAACAATCCAAATGCCATAGATTATGTCTTTGTAAGAAGGGATAACAACATTACGATACAATCGCTGATGATTATTACAGTTGAAATTTTTCAGTGACTCGTTGTTAAATATTTATCTAAGACATTGATCACTCACTCACTATACAGTAGCTGTAACAGTTGCCCATGTATGGTCACCACATGTTGACTGACCCAACTGTCTGCGTACTTAACGTCCTTCTTTTAAATCATTAGGCAGACCCATGTAACCGGAGATGCTTATAGCTAAACTGAATTTGACCACGGCCGTTCTATGTTTTTGAAACAACGCAGCACCTGGACATCTCAAGGATAGCACATCATGGACACTTCCTTTTTATGTAAGGGAAATATGTTGACCCATTGAACAGTCTTGTCACCCTCGAGGTCTCAGGCTGAAGAAAAGCTTGTTTAAACGAGCTACACTAGACGAATGGTTGATGTAATTTCCTGGCTATAATTTACCGTAATGGCAGACGACATACATGGTTTTGTGTACATACTATTAAACGTATGCTGTTTCTTAAAAACAGGACCGCCTCCGTGGTCTAGTGTTAGAGCGTCCGCCCGGAGAGCGGAAGGTCCGGGGTTCGATCCCCGACCGCGTCATACCAAAAGACGTTAAAAGATGGTACTTGTTACCCTGTCTGGCGCTCGGCATTAAGGGGCTAAAACAAGGACTGGTCGGCTCGGAGTCTATAATGTGTCTGAGTGAGGTATTCATGTTAAACTGCGGCATGGTATCTCAGTGGGGTAGCACTATAAATCGGCATCAGTCCGGTCCAACACACACACACACACACACACACACACACACACACACACACACACACACACACACACACACACACGTGCATGCACGTCGCTATATAAGTGCAATAATCTTGGACGCGGCGTTAAACCCCATTTCACCTCACCTCACCTCTTACAAACAAACTTTTAATGGTGCTTTTCCCCGGGTTTATATTAAAGTGGACAAAACACTTCAGGCTTAAAGTTGGAACTACCGCACTTTCTTACAAAAGGTGGAGGGGGTTGGGAGGGGGGAGTAAATGGAGTTTGTGTGTTTTAATAGGTTTAGAATTTTAGTGTTTATTGGCAGCTTGTTTGTTGTACTTTTTTAAATGCGGCCAAGTAGGCCTGTTTTGATTAGATATTAGCCTAGTGCTTTTAAGTTTTTAAGTCATTTAGGGGGTTTAGTACCGTTGCTAGTGTCATTTGATTGATGCAATTTAGTGTGGATTGGAGTGTTGCTCTGTGTTGCTGGTATTGTGTGCAATATAGTATTCGGTGTTCAGGCGTCTCTTTTAAGTTGCAGTGGGGGCATTTACCGGTTTGGTGTTTTTTAATTTGGTGTAGGTGGGAGTTTAACTTAGTGTGGCCTGTTTGTAGTTTGTTTAGTTTAATGATGGATTTTTGGTTTTTGGAGTGGCTTTTGTAGCAGGTGTTTTAGTTTGGAATCAGACTTCTGATAGTTATTTTGCCACTTTTGGAAGATTTTCTCCTTTGTGCTTTTTAATTTCGTTTTTTGATAATTGGTAGGTTGATGCTTACTTCTTCTAATTTTAGTGCTGATTTGGCTGCTTTGTCTGCGTGTTCGTTCCCACTCCAACTGGGGCAGGGATCCAAACTATTTCTGTGTCTTTACCTAGTTTACGTAGATTGTTGACGCTTTTGATTATCTGTTGTATAAGTTTTGGGCGCTTTTTTTGTGTTATTGTTTTTATGGCCTGGAGCCAACTTAATGAGTCTGAAAGGATTAGGTTTTTTTGGAGTCTATTTATTTGATCGCTGTGCAGGGCTGTTACTATCCCCATTAATTCGGGTGTGAAAATTCATTATTTGGATTGTGTTTCTTTTTGGAGTTTGTTGATATGGATGCCGAATCATGTGCGTTTTGAGCCCGGGTCAAAGCACCCGTCTGCATAAATGTGACACCAATTAGGCCATTTGTCGTGAATGTACGAGTAGGTGTGGTGGATGATATGCCTCAAGAAGAGCATGAAAAGTTGTATCGATAGTCTGATATAACTAAAACAATTATGATAGTATTGCTATTTGAGGCGTAACTGATCTATAGCCTTATTGTACAGGGCATGATCATTATATTAATTTGTGTAAATTATGATCAATATATACTGAAACGCAAAAGAAACGTCACCATGGATAGATGTATGAGAAACCTTATTTGTCCAACACTGTTAACGACCCGTGAAGATCCGGGGTAGAATAGGTCTTCAGCAAACCAAGGCGACTAACGGGATCGGGTGGTCAGGCTCGCTGACTTGGTTGATGCATGTCATCGATCCCAATTGCGCGGATCGATGCTCATGATATTAATCACTGGATTGTCTGGTCCAGACCCGATTATTTACAGACCGCCGTCATATAGCTGGAATATTGCTGAGTGCGGCGTAAAACAACAAACCAATCAACCAACCAACACTGTAAACATACTTTGAAACATATCAAAAAGATGAAACTTGGCAAAACTATTCATCATGGTTGAGATTAAAGTGTCAAATGTGAATGGCTTAAAGTGAAACACAACACTAGTTTCTGAGAAAATGGCATCACAAGTCAGTATCTCGTATGTCCGCCATATGCATTGATGACTGCCGTGCAACGTCGATACATGGAATGGATGAGGCGGTTGATGAAGGCCATAGGCATTTGAACCTACACTCTGAGGAAGGCCTGACGCAGTTCAGCTGCAGTTGTCGGCCTTGGTCGGACGTCATTCAGCCGTCTTTGAATCTCGTCCCACAGGTGCTCAATGGGATTTAAATCGGGACTGAGGGCAGACCATTGCATGTTTCTGATGCCATTCTGCTGAAGGAAGTCTCTTGTTGCTCTCGCAGTGTGGGCACGGGCGTTATCATGCTGAAACTCGTGGTTGCGTCGACGAGCCAAATGAGGTATTGCGTGTGGTCTCAAGACTTGATCAATGTAACGAGCTGCTGTGACACCATTGCCTCTCCCTGGACCGATGTTCTGGAAGACCACAGGGCCGACCCTCTGTGCAAGACCAATTCCAACCCACACCATGATGCTCGGATCATCTCTCTCTCTGCCATCTGCTGTTGAGATACAGTAACGGCTCTCGTCTGAGAAGAGGACTCTTCTCCGCTGCTGGTGGCGCCAATACTGGTGCTGCGTTGCCCACTAAAGAAGGTCTCGGCGATGACGTGGTGTTGGAATGGGTCCTCGGTGTGGCCTCTGACAGTCAATCGTCGACGCATGCATGGTGTCTGCACTAGTGTGTCGCTGGTGTGTCCCAATGGTCTGTCGAGCAGTTTCCGCAGCAGTAACAAAGCGATCTTGAAGATGCTGTCGCACAATCTGACGATCCTGACGTCGGGTAAGGACCCTTGGTCTTCCACTACGTGGTCGGTCATCTGTAGTGTTGGTGATCTGGTACCATTGCTGGAGCCTGTGTATGGTCCTTACGTGGACTTGAAACGCATTGGCTAATTGCCGGGCGGTTTGTCCAGCTTGCAATCGTCCAAGGGCTTGGTGTTGCTGATTTCTTGTCAATCGTTGCATGTAGCAATTCAATAACGAATGAATATTATCCGATGGGGGTGGATTTTTATAGGGCAAGAAATTTGGGAACGCATGTGCATTTCAAGTTGCACGGAACTCACATGCATCGGGTAACCATGGCCGTTGCCGTGATGCGTTTGGGCGATCGGTTTTATTGTCATCGGCTTTGTTTTTTTTATCGCAAATTTCATTTTTATGGGCAATGTAATGTTAAATTTTAGAAACTT